ACAATGAAAAGTCATAATCTTTATTTAGGAGGGTGATATGTTCCGATCATCCTTTTATAAATATCACTCTGGCAATTGGGTGGAGAAGAGATTGGGGGAGGGGAGTTATCAGGGTGAATGAAGAGAAATACTTAGGTAGCTACTGTTGTAGCCCAGGGGAGATATGACGACAGAAATGGAGAGAGGTATATGGATTCAAGAGGCATTTAAGAGGCAAATTGACAGGATTTACTAATGGATTGGATATTGGTGGTTAAGGAGAGAAAGGTGCAAAATACAACTTCAAGTTTTGGGGGTTTTGACTGGCTGGAGGATAGTATTATTAACTGAGATAGAGGACCAGCTTAGTGTGGAAAATTATTAATTTCATTTTGAACATGTTGAGTTTGCAGTGCTTTTGAGACATTAAAGTGAAAGTGTCAAGTAGGCACTTGGCTATCCAAAAATAACTCAGAGAAGAGGTCTCGAGTAGACAGAAATGAAGGAGTTGAGAACATGCAAATGGCCATTGAAGCCCTGGGCATGGATAATGCTGTCAAAGGGCAGAGCAGAGAATGATAAGAGAAGAGGGACTTTGAGCCATTAGGAACATCAACCTTTAATGGCTTGATAGAGGATGATGAGGTAGCAAAGGAGAGTGAGAAAGAATGACTAGAGAAATAAAAGAAACTCCAGGAGAGTGTGTTGGTGGGGGTGAGGAGTTCTCAAAAGACAATGAGAGAGAAGATTTCATAAAGACATGAATAGCCAGTGCTGCCATTTGAAAGGTCAGGTGCTTATCAGGACTGACATATCAATAAGAATTTATCAGCAAGGTCATTAGTGATCTGGAGAGAGCTGTTTCCATGAACTAATGGTGGCAGGAACCCAAAAGAATGGAGACAGAAAGTATTATCAACTCTTCTGAGAACTTTGGCTGTGAAGGAGAGATAGGGTGCCAGTTGAATGGATTTGTAAGGCTAGGCTATTAATTTTTAGAAGGCTCTTTTAAGATGAAAGGCATCTGATCATGGAGAATGGGGGAAACCAGTGAGCAGGGGTTTGATCAGAGAAATGAGAGGGAAAGACAGATGAATGCAATGAGGAACAGAGATTATAAAGCTAAAATTATGATTCAGTCTTGATTAAAATGAAAAGAAATTATAGGTTCTGATGGCATTTGATAAGAATACTTCAGAGGAAAGAATCTTGTTGACATAGGTTGGTCGTTCAAAACACTATGTGGTTGTTTCCCTTCTCAGCAAGAGAAGGAAGAGGAGGTCAGAGAACATTTACCTCCCAATGACCAAAGAGCAACCTTGGAAATCAGCTAGAGAAATTTTATTTAAGTTCAAAACTTTACATGTTATGTCATGCTATCATGAATTACAGTTCCTCTCCTTAATCTGGCTTTATCAAAAAGAGGGCAAGAGACTTTCAAAGATATTCAACTCAATTCCAAAATTTTGTTTGATTACGCAGGTCTTAACCCTCCCATTGTGAGACTAATGTATGTCATGCATAAAATGATACTTGTCTTGGGGCCGGCCCGGTGGTACAAGTAGTTAAGTGTGCGCGCTCTGCTGCAGTGGCCCGGGGTTCGCCCGTTCGGATCCCAGGCGCACACCGACACACCGCTTGGCAAGCCATGCTGTGGCAGCGTCCCATATAAAGTGGAGGAAGATGGGCACGGATGTTAGCCCTGGGCCAGTCTTCCTCAGCAAAAAAGAGGAGGATTGGCAGATGTTAGCACAGAGCTGATCTTCCTCACACACACAAAAAATGATACTTGTTTTAAGAAATTGCTTTTTTCTTTAGCTATAAAATATGATTATTTTAGAAAATTAAATTTTCTCATTTAAGCTCTAATTAAACTCACCAGCCTTATGTTAATTATATATAGAGAATTACATGTAGATATAGATATAGAAATAAATATAGACGTAGACATATAGTCATAGGTATAGACATACATATAAATATAGATAAAGGTGTGACATCATTAGTTCTTCTGTTGATAAAAAAAAAAAACTTGAGACTCTTTGGGTGCAGCTTACCTCATGTCTGTAACAGATTTTAATCCAAATACAACACCAACACAGGTTTTCAATCCAAACACAACTAAGTTTGATTATTGCACACTATATAATTCAAGAAAGGAACAACTGGGGGATGGGGTGATGCACGATGTCAAAACCACAAAGAGGTCAAAGGGAAAAAATCTTCAGGAAAAGGACTCATTCCTGTAATAATTAGGAAGTCTGATGTTCTTTTCAAATGTGCTGCACAGACGGGAGTATGTGGGAGAAATGACATCTCCAGGAAAGATTAGGTGATGGAAAAAATGAAACTTCAAAAAAATGAAGAACAGAAAAGGGAGTGAGAGTGTCAGTATTAAGGGGGAATTCATTTGCAGAAGATAGGAGGGGAGAGAGAAGGACACCAGTGTGTAAGTGAAGGATGAAGGGAAATAAGGCTAGCATGGAGGTATTAGCTACCATTAAAAATCAGAGTCCCTCATTTTTATCTGTTTTTGACCTATTTTCATTTTCTTTGTGTTTTTCTGGGGACAAAGATCTCTTTTTGAAGACTTTGCTTCCTTTCATCATTTAATAATTGCTTCTATTTTTCAGTTTTTATTAAAAAGGCTATTTCTGGGAATGCACTGGAATTAAAGGTGAGAAACAGAAGCTGTACTTTGAGCTCTTCCAAAGAAAAGCACTTCAGAAATCAAAGGCATTGCTACATTGTTATTATTCTCTCCTTCCCCTGAAAACTTGGCATGACATTAGCTCTGATCCTCAAAGAGAAGTCTTTCAGTTTAGCCATCATATTAATATATCTGTGACTCTAAAAAAGGAATGGATATCTAAATTGATCAACCTAGTCCAACAATCTTCTCTTTTTTTTAGTTCCGGTGCTGTGAATCTGATCCAGGAATCAGAAATAGGAACATTGTAACTCATTTTATCCTCCATGTAAATCACGTCCAGTGATGCATAAATTGTAAGGGCATATAGCCAAGTACTTTGAGTTCTGTGCAGAGAGCCATAAGCTAAACCAGCATTGAAAGCATGAGACGGTAACTCATGAATAATCCTTCCATATTTTTACACAGTTATATAACCAGTTGCTTACTATAATGATAATTTACATTAATATTGGAATAATGAATAGAAGACAAAAATAAGAAGCTATTTTGGAAATAACTCATAAGTATTTCTAAGCACCAGTTATTGTCTATCAAGACAGAATTGGATGGATAGCACAATACTCAGGAAACAATAGTAACTAGAAAAACTCCTAGTTAATATTTTCCCCATTTAGGTAGCTCCATGAAAGGTATCACTCATAAAGAAATATCTAAACACAGCCTGAGGGGAAAGAAGGTTTTAAACTAGAAACATAATCCATACTTGGCGGTTCATATAATAGGAAGTCATCTATAAATGAGCAGGTTAAAAAAAAACATTTTAACAGATGGTGTATAATTATATACATATATAAATAATATATAACATATATAAATAATATATATCTGTACATATATAAATACACACATGTATATACAGATACAACAACAGGTGTGGAAAAAGCAACTTGATCTCTTTGTGTCTATTGGTCAACTAAAGTTTATTTACATCCTTATAGACCCAACCTAAGTTATAATAGAGGATATTTATTTCCAAATATTTCCATTAGTTGGAAATTACAGAGATATAAAAGCCTGCACAGCAGATGAAAATATTAGGAAATAAAAACAATCTCATATTAAACAAGCACACCATTTAATAACTTTCTTTTCCAATTGCTGAATTGGGAAAATAAGGACCATTGAAACATGGAAATATTTGGTGAAGATATTCTAAAGGTTGGTGACTTGAAAACAATTTTGGACACCCTAAAGCAAAACCCAATCAGAGACCTATTTTTCTTCACGTGTAAGTGACACAGATTAGTGGAGTTCTCCACTTGTGTCTGCTTCTTTGAAGGCTAGAATAAGGCTCCACGTTTTGTTCACTGATATATCCCAAGATCCCAGAAAAATATCTGGCACACAGTATCACTTATTAAACATTTATTAAATTAATTTATTGTTGACATTCCTAGCATGGAAATGGTAGAACAAGGTGTCCTCTGCATGGTGTATAATTTTAGTTATGATTATTGCTCCAAACAAAAAGTAAAAGTAGCAAACACCCACCTATCACTCGACGCTTGCCAGAAACTTGCCACACATACCCCATCCAGTCCTCTGGGCTCATCACAGCCTGCAAGCAGCTGAGCGCCAGGAGCTCACATTGGAGCCCCGTCCGCTGTTTGACTCCATTCTATCCTCTACCACGCTTATAGATTCATTTATGTCCCCCCAACTCATATGTTGAAGTCCTAACTCACAGTGCTTCAGAATGTGAGCTTATTTGGAAATAGGGTCATTGCAGATGTAATTAGTTAAGTTAGGATGATGTCATACTGGAATAGGATGTACCCCAATCCAATGTGATTAGTGTCCTTACAAGACCAGAACTTTGGACACAAACATGCACACAGGGAGAAGGCCATGTAAAGATGGAAGCAGAGATTGGGACGGTGCTTATACAAACCAGCTAATGCCGAAGACTGCCAGGAAACCAGCACAAGCTAGAGGAGAGCAGGGAACAGATCCTCTCTCACAGTCCTCAGAAGGAACCAACTCTGCTGATACCTTGATCTTGGACTTAAAGCCTCTGGAACTGCGAGGCAATAGATTTCTGTTAAGCCACCCAATTTGTGGTACTTTGTTATGGCAGCCCCCAGCAAACTAATACAGCTACTTACTGACTCCTCGCAACTTGTCAGGTTTCCTACCAGGGGCACTGGTACCCTGACCTCACTCCCACTGGGCACTGTCTTGTTCAGTGCTCAGAGTTCACCAACCTGCCTCCAATTTCTTCCAAAGCATCCACAATTATACTTCGTCAGTATCCAACACATTCTTCCAACAAGTTACATAGCAATTACATCTGACACGTTTCCCTTACCTTCTGCTTGCTCCTGTGCTTGGAGTGGCCTTATAACCTGAAGGGGGTGGTGGAAACCAGGACTGTCTGTTAAGAAATGACATCAGTTATAACCATGGTGCTTGAAAGGCCTGATCCCACCCACATGTCAGGCAGGAAAAGCTGAAAATAGTTGGACAGTTAAAAAGGCAATGAGAGGACTTTTCTATAAGGCCTCAGAAATAAAATGAAAGCTATTTCATAAATGCCATAGGAAGTAACTGCTATATATTGCAGGCTATCTGCTCCCCCAAGTAAATTCCTTTTCCCATTTCCTTTGACACTAAACAATGTAGACATTTCCTTACAAAGAAATCTGAAGGAAATCTGGAAAATAACATTTGTAAAATGTAAATACTAGGTTCATGGGTATTTATCATCAACATACCTCTTTTTCTTTCTATTTTTTCTGCATATCTGAAATATTTCATAATAAAAATAACAACAATCTTATGCTCTATTCAAAATACGGCTTTAAAAAACTGTGGGTTAGAAAACTCTGACAAGTAAGAACATTAAAAACATAAATGAACACCACAGCAATGCTAATCTCAGTTTTATATATATGTATATATACAAATACATATATATTCAATTGGAAAGATATCTTCACATTACTAGGGTATAATTTTAATTGGTAGAGATAACTAAGGGCACTGTCAAAAAGACTAAGATATGAACCCAATATGAAGATGTTCAGAGGAGAGTGACGTAGCCTAGAGAAGGAAAAGCTGGGATAAGGAGGACAGGAGAGCTGGCTTTAAATTCTTGAAGCAGGTATTCTCCGAGCCACCACAGGACTGAACTAAGATGAGACGGGAGTAGATCAAAGCAGATTTCAACTCAGTGTAAGTAGTCGATGCTATCCATGAGAGCTAGTCAAAGGTATACCACAAAAGTGAGAGTCTCATTGCTGGCTTCAATGGTCCTGAATTAAGCCCAACCTATCAAATGAAAGATTCTTGCACTGGTAGGAGATTGAACTAACTGACATTAAATTTCCCTTCCAACCTTAGGAATCTGTTTCTAACAGACAAAGGGTCAGGGGGATATGAAGTTTGGGTCTAAGAGAAAGGTGATCACATTTCTGAGACTGTGGATACAAATGGAATTCCAACTACAGGAAAAAGAGAATCAGCCGTTTCTCTCCAGGAGGGCTATGGCAGCGCCATGGCAGTCAGCCAGTCCATCAACAAATACTGAGCACCTACCCTATACCAGGCTTGGTCCTAGGTGCAGGCAAAGAAAACAAGAAAATTTAAAAAGTACTGAGGTTCACAACTGCTTGTTTTCCATAAGCATCATGATTCACTAGCACTGTGTTCTCTTCAACATGCAAAAATCGCTTCTACCATCACATTCTGTCTCATGAAGTATATTCTGCCACCACAGGTCTAGCTTCTCCTCCACACCTACTAGATAAATGGAACTCAGCACAGGCAGAATGTGGGAGGCCACGCAGGGAAAGTCAGAGGAGGTGGCAATAATCACACAAACACGGAGAGATGTCTCCAGATGGAGTCTTTGACTCTATATTTGGAAGGAGGGTCAATCCAACCTACAGAGCAGAGGAGGCGGTCATGATTCGGGCTGGTTTCAGGGGCGTGGCAACATACGGCCACACCGCAGTCATGATTTCAGGGTAAGGCATTCTCTGTCGTAGGACTCTATTAAAAGGTGTTACCTGAAGTAGCTCACCCCTTCAACATTTGAGCTCTATCATCAAAAACATTATCTAGAGGGGCCAGCCTGGTGGTATAGTGGTTAAGTTCACACGCTCCGCTTCAGCGGCCCAGAGTTCGTGGGTTCGGACCCCGGGGACAGACCTACACACTGCTAATCAAGCCATGCTGTGGTGGTGTCCCACATACAAAATAATAGAGGAAGATGGGCACAGGTGTTAGCTCAGCAACAATCTTCCTCAAGCAAAAAGAGGAAGATTGACAACAGATGTTAGCTCAGGGTCAATCTTCCTCACCAAAAAA